TTCCTCACATCTCAGCTCCATCTCCCCTCTTCCACTGTGAAGCCATCACCCCTCGTTCTGTCACTACCTGCCCTTGTCAAAAGTCCCTCCCCAGTATCACAACATGCAGATCTCCACTTAAAACAAAGAGCTCATGCCAGTCATTTTCCTACAAACATTTTTTTTTAAAAAAAAAGCTTGCACTAGGACCCATATTCCGGTATTTTATTTCTTTTCACCCGTACAACAGCAATTAGCACCCGTACCTCATTAATTAAAGCAGGTGAGCCCAGGGGTAGTTACCCGAGAAGGAGCCGCTGTCCTGCCCCGCTCCAGCCACCGCCGGCTGAGGCTGCAGGTTGTGAGGCACCATCTCTGCAGGTTGGTCATTTTGGATTCAAGGCCAGAGGGAGTTTACAGCAGCGTTTAACATCCCCCCAGCCAGAGACACAGACATAGTCAGCAGCACTGGCCACAGGAAGGGACTGCACTAGTCCCACCCTGCCCACGAGACATGCTTTGGGCATCCAGGCAAGTTCAGGCTATGGACCACGTTCTGGGGAGCAGCTAGCCTCCCTCTTTGTGACCTGGGCTGTATCACAACTGTTTCCATGGTCAGACAGCCTAAGCCCAGCTGCAGGACCAGGACATGGCCAGTCAGGAATGCACCAGCGCAGGAAACTGCTGGTGGTGCTGGTTTAAGCTCCTGTGCTCCTCCTGCCCAGTAAAAGGGATGGAGGTGTAAGAGGACAAGTGTTGCTTACCCCCCCATAAGGTCACAGGGCTGTCCTACACAATCACAACTGTTTCCAGACCATGACAGTACCCATGCCACACACAGTGCAACAAGTCTTCTGGTCCAAGAGAGACCAGTGACTCCCCACACTCTGTTTTGTCCTTGCCAGAGGCACCAGCACTGGCCCCTTTGGCATTCCCAAGGGCTACCCTGGTTCCTGGTTGGAAGCAAGGAAGGCAGGTGTGGTAGACATCTACTAATTGGTAGTTAGACAACAATATCCCTGGGCTTTGGGCTTCTTTCCCACTAAAGAGTGACCCCAGCCCACCCACCCCCAGTTAACACCCAGCCCCAGATCCCCCAACACCTCCTTTCAGAAATCTGCAGTAGTTTCATCAAATCCTACTGAGCCCATTGTTACTTTTAGGATTGCACACAGCCTCCTCCATCTCAAAAGCACAAGTATCTTAGTAATGCTCAAAGAGAGGGTCAAACTTCTGCCCACTCCCTTCCCATGTGCAGGCAGCATGGGTGACATGATGGTCTCCAGCACCAATGGTGCATGGCCAGAAGAGCTGACCCTGGATGTCTGAGCAGGCAGCAGGGACGTCTGTTAGGAGCTGAGTGACAGGTCAGATGTACCACCAAGTTTTTTTGACAAGGCTCATCTGAGTCACCCAAAGCAAGGAGAGAGCCAGCAGGCTCAGTTAAAGGGCTCTGGACTGAAATCACTGGCATGCAAGGTCACGGCAGAGAATTGGCACTTTAAAAGTCACCATCGTGCTCTCCAACACACGCAAAGGCTGGAGCAACCCCAGGCAGGCTCCAGGTACCCTGGGAAGAGCCATCACCGAAGTGACAGCACCCAGAATTGATTTGTGGTGTAGTCCAGACACATTAAGTGGCAATAAAACCATAAGTGACTTCAGGACAGCAAGCCCCATTCGCGTGAGATGAACGGTGGCTTTTAAGAAGATCACTAAATCCCATCAGTGCTACATGTCCAAACCTCACTTATTTTAAAGGCTGCTGTTAAAGTGCCTTTCATTCCTAGCAGTAGATGGTTTTAAATTTCAAAAGAACTTCTCAGATCAGCCAGTGACCTTCTTCATGCCCACAGAGAGAGAGGGGCTGTGGAAAACGCCGGCTCCTTGGGGACAAGGGTTGTTGAACATGGTGTTCCAGGTGTCTGGAGGAGGCCTCCTGTGCCTCGGTGCGGGAGTGCTGGTGCAGCCGTGCTGTCCCACGGCTTTGCCGTGGTGTGACGGGTCTCCGCTGAGTTTCTCAGGGTGACTTCACCTTCCAGAGATCTCTGGGGATCCAAAGCAGGTCTCGCCCCCAGCACTGCTGTGTCCTGGTGGGAAGTGTGCCAGGGCCGGTGGCTCAGGCTTCGGCGTCGTCCTGGCTCAGCGTGCCAGCGTCGTGCAGGAGCGGGGTTGTCTCGGAGGAGGAGGGTGGTTTGCTCTGTGTGGTGGGGTGGCACGGGCTCTTCTCAGTGGTGGCTCTCTGAAGAGGAGAGGACAGCAGTTACAGCTATGCACTCAGTGGTGGTGGTGGTGGCACTGTGCTCAGACCTTACTGCATGCAGATGTCACCACATCCCCACTTGGGACACACGTACCCCAAACCTCTTGGACTTTCATGTGGCCTAGAACCCTTTTCCAAAGGCTTCTTAAATTGGAGATTTTTGCATCTCCTCTCCTAACAATTTCCATTCCTGCCCACTGACAGTTGTAACACCCCAAACACGCAGCCTGAAGAGCCATGTCACCAAGCAGAGGAGTTATGGGACAAAGTCAGCAGGCTGCACAGCATCAGAGAAGATGAAAGGGAGATGGACAGGATCTTCTCAGGGACACAACAGCTTCAAGATGCACAGACCCCAGCTGCAGTAGACACAGCACCCATCCCTACTATAATGGTAAGTGCAACCTCTGGGGAAGGTGAAGGGTGGAAGCTGGTGCCTTCTAGCACCGAAAGACTCCTGCTCCACCTAAAGGCTTACAACTACAAAATGGGGTCACCACCCTCAAAGTTGAAGAGAAGCCAGATACACTTTCAAGCAAAGCATGTGAGCTCCCTGGCCCTAAATCATGCAAGACCCCCAGGAGGAAGCAGCACGTGGCAGTAGCGGGTCACTCCCTGCTGCTGGGGACAGAGGTGCCCACCTGACCTGTCATCTAGAGACATTTGCTGCTTGCTGGGGACCTGGATCTGGGGTGTTGTGGAAGGACTGTGAGGCTTATCCAACCCTTTTGACTGTTACCCACTGCTTCTTCTGCATGGGCACCAATGATACCACCAGGGCCACCTGGAAAGTATAAAACATTACTACAGAGCTTAGGTGGGGGGAGATGGTCATGGTAAAAAAGATGATTGCTATTCAGGGGTCATCTCCTCTAAGCTTAAGAGTGGCCCACCCCAACAAACATCCCAAGTCAAGGCAAAAATGCTATCAGGCCTGTATGGATGAAAAGGAGCTTCTGGCCAAAAGGAAGCATAAAGATGGAAGCAAGGATAGGTAACCTGTCAGGAATACAGAGACACTGTCCCACCATGCAGGGCTGAAGACAGGACAGCCAAAACCCAACTGGAATTCAGTCAAGACAAGAAGAAGGGCTTCTATGAGTACACAGGTGACAAAAGGAAGACTAGGGGACATGTGGGCCTGCTGCTGAATGAGGCAGGGGACCCCAGAGACCAGGGGAAAGGCTGGAGCAAGGAAGACATACACTCAGGAAGAGCATGAGGTCAGAGAATACTGAAGCAACCCAGACATACAGAAACCCACAGACCCTGACAGGATGCGCCCACGAGTGCTGAGGGAGCTGGCCACCATCCCAGCAAGGCCACTCCCCATAAGCTTTGAACAGTTCTGGCAAGTGGGAGACGTGCCCAAAGACTGGAGGAAAACAAGCGTCACTCCTATCTTGAAGAAGTGCAAGAAGGAAGACCCAGGGAACTACAGGACAATCGGCCTCCCTTCAATCCTTGGGAAGGTGACGGAGCAGCTAATCCTAGGAACCATGTCCAGGCACATGAAGGACAAGAAAGTCCTCAGGAGTAGTCAGCATGGCTTCACCAAGGCGAAATCATGCTTGACCAACCTGATAAACTTCTATGATGAAACCACAGGCTCGGTAGATGAGGGGAGAGCAATGGATATTGTTTACCTCAACTTCAGTAAGGCTTTCAACACTGTCTCCCATAAGAACCTGTTAGAGAAGCTATCAAGTATGGGCTGGATGAGCAGACAGGGAGTTGGACTGAAAACTGGCTGAACAGACAGGCCCAGAGGGTCATGACAAGTGGCATGAAGTCTAGTTGGAGGCCAGTAATTAGCAGCATCCACCAGGGTCAATACTGGGTCCAATCCTGTTTAACATCTTTATTAATGATCTGCCAAGTTTGCTGATGACACAAAACTGGGAGCAGTGGCTGATACACCAGGAGGTTATGTTGCTCTCCAGAGGGACCTCAACAGGCTGGGGAAATGGGCTGGCAGGAACCTCATGAGATTCAACAAGAGGATGTGCAAAGTCTTGTACCTGAGGAAGAACAACCCCATGCACCAGTACATGCTAAGGGCCACCCAACTCTTAAGCAGTCTAGCAGAAAAGGACTCAAGGGTCTTGGTGGACACCAAGTTGAACGTGAGCAAGCAGCAGGCCTGTGTAGCAAAGGAAACTAACTGTATGCTGGGGGATCTTTCCCCTCTACTCATCGTTGGTGAGGCCACATCTGGAGTACTGTGTCCAATCTGGGCTTCCCGGAGCAAGAGACATGGAGCTACTGGAAAGAGTCCAGCAAAGGGCCACTAAAACAATTAAGGGACTGGAACACCTCATATAAACAAAGGCCAAGAGAGCTGGGACTGTTTAACCTCGAGAAGAGAAGGCTCAGGGGGATCTTACCCATGTGTACAAGTATCTGAAGGGAAGGTGTAAATACAGAGCCAGGCTCTTCTCAGTGGTGTCCAGGGACAGGACAAGAGCCAACAGACACAAACTCAAACACAGGAGGTTCCATCTGAACATTAGCAAACACTTTTTTCTTTTTTTCTTTTTTCTTTTTTTTTCTTTTTTTTTTTTTTTTTTTACTGTGAAAACGGTAAAAACTGGAACAGGATGCCCAGAGAGGTCAGGGAATCTCCATCCCTGGAGATATTAAGAGACATCTGGATGTGGTCCTGGGCAACTGGTGCTAGGTGACCCTGCTTGGGCAGCGGGGAGGACTACATGACTTCCAGGGGTCCCTTCCAACCTCAACGATTCAGTGATTTTGTATTCCTGTAATACAAACCCAGATATTTCAGACATCAGAAATTCCCTCTTGAAAGCCTTTTTGTCGAGGCTCCATGGATGCAGGAGGGGAGTGATACCCACCAGTTGACTACCTCTGTTACCCCCATGAGTTTTCACCCATTTAAAAAACTTACCTTTGGATCTCAAACACTTGTTGGGGGGGAGAAAATAAGCAAGAAAAGTGTTTCCTCACACTAATCCTACTTTTCACCCTGATCCCTACTGACATTATTATGGCTGCAGATCAGGTACATCAGGAGAAACAATAAGAGCATGTGCTTGCAGTCTGGTTGAGTATTAAAACATCTAAATTACCCTGAATAAAGCCATGAGACGTCGTTATTATTGTGCTGGTTTTGGCTGGGATAGTTAATTTTCTTCCCAGTAGCTGGTATGGGGCTTAGGTTTGGATTTGTGCTGAACACAGTGTTGATAATCCAGAGATGTGTTTGTTATTGCTGAGCAGAGCTTACACAGAGTCTTCTCACACCACCCCACCAGTGAGGAGACAAGAAATTGGGAGGGGACACCAGTGGGACAGCTGACCCCAACTGACCAAAGGGATATTCCAGACCATACGATGTCATGCTCAGCACATAACACTGGGAGAAGAAGAAGGAATGGGGGAGATGTTAAGAGTGATGGTGTTTGTCTTCCCAAGTGACTGCTACACATGATGGAGCCCGGCTTTCCTGGAGATGGCTGAACACCCGCCTGCCGCTGGGAAGTGGTGAGGGAATTCCTTGTTTTGCTTTGCTTGTGCACATGGCTTTTGCTTTATGTATTAAACTGTCTTTATATCAACCCACAAGTTTTCTAACTTTTACTGTTCTAATTCTCTCCCCCATCCCACTAGATGGAGAGTGAGCGAGTGGCTGTGTGGTGATAGTTGCCAGCTGGGGTTAAACCATGACAATTGTACCAAAGCTTGCCAAGAGGGCATATGTCTGGTAGATGTGGACAGTAAATATTTTCACTTGATTGTTTTTTAGCAGTTTAATCAAATTAGGATGAGACAAGAGTGTGTTACCTTGACTGGGTACCCACCTACAGTCTGGCTTCCCGCAACATGGTCCCCTTAAGCGGAGGCAGCTTTTTGGCAGAGGTGGGCTGGTTGGCCTTATTACTGTTTGAGTTCTTTTTATTGCTACTCCAAAATAAAGAGCATTTTTCCTAGAAGACAATCAGGCTAGTTTAAGGTGCACTTGGACATGAATTTTATGAGGGTTCCAATTTTAGGAGAAAATTTTGAATCACTGTTTAAACTACAATCTAGTTATTAATGAAGATTTCAAAATTTAGGTTAAACTAAGTCCTAGTTAAGATTTTGATCAATGTCAAGCCAGTTTTAAAATGGTCTGTTTGCCTTTTAAATGCACCACCACGCAGGCTTTAGGCCATGTTAGCAAGTAGAGGACAGCTACAATGCTGCATCTGGGCATGTTTTATGCCTGTAGATATTTACACATTTTTTAGAACTGCAGGTCCAACAGATGCATTTCAAACTGGCTCCACTATACACTAGACTATGATTTAAGTGTTTCATGGTACCTCATCTGGACTAGGTTTAGAGCACAGTGCTCCTTCCAGAAGCCAGAGGCACACAAGATACTCCAGTAAGGAGCTGGATTCAGGGAGACCTTCACACTGGCAGACACGTGAAGATGCAATGCCCCGACTCTGTGTCCCCTCTGACATCGCCTGTGACTTCCAGAGGGAGGACTGTGCATGATTAAGCAATCACCGCTAGATCAGCAACACTTCAAATCAAATGAGGAACACATCTTGGCTGCAAATTGCTGTCTTCCAGTTTACAAGCTCTTTATCTATTCATTAGGCAGAGACTTTTACATGTTGTTGCATAGCTTCCTTAGAGATTTACAAGGTCATTGAGGCTTTATAATCACTTTCCAGGTAGTCAGGCACATTCTGCAGTTAATTTTTAGTTCTAGCTCTTCATGACACTTTTGGCTGAGCACCCAAAAATGCATCTGGCTTATGCCTGGGTTTGGGCTATTTCACAAGCAGATATTCAGTTGACTTGAGTGAATTTGAAATCCAGCTTTTCTTCCTGACCCTTTCTGGCATGGTTAAGGCTCTTTGATACCAGGAACTAAGATTAGCACAAAGCAGGGTGAGGAAATGCTAGCTCAGGGCTGCATAAGGGCTTAGAAATAGCTGCCCAGCAAATACTGATATTTTTCAGATATGCTGGTGCTACGCAGCAGAGTGAAGTCTGTTTGCCAGCAGCCACTTGCATTTCCCAAAGCAGAGAGGTTCAGCTCACAATGCCCAACCACCTCAGGAGCACAGCAAGGGTTTAATGCTGAGCCCTCAGCCCTAGCATCGCTCCCACCCTGCAGAGAAGCACATAGAGGAACAAGGGGATTGGGGATCATGTGTTTAAGTCAATTAAGCAGTTGTAGGCTTGGTTAAAATCCAATTACGTGATACTCTGAGAACCCTGGTGCTATTTAAAGTGGGTTTGTATTAGCGTTTCACTGACGGTAGTTACAGGAGGTTGAGCAAAAGCAGCCCCTCGCAGGTGCTCTCACCAAAGCCTCCTCTCATCCTGAGCTTTGCTTTTTTATCCCCACAAGTAGCCTCTTCACTTCTGTAGCTTTAGAGCCAGCTCAAGCCATTTGAGTATAGTGTAAAACTAAATAAGCTTACTTTGATACAGGTGAGGGAGCTAGATCTCTACTTCAAGAGCTAAAGCTTTGGAGAGCTTAGTGCTATCAGATGAATGTTTTGGAGCTGGAGCCATAGATTTCCATCAAGAGTTTCAGCTGGTTTATAGTCTGTCCTTACAGCTCAGAGCAGACTCGTGTGCCAGCCAGGCACCCTCACTGCCCTGCCCATCGTGGGCCAACTTCTACCCAGCTGCCAGCTCCCTGCAGGCTTCAAAGGTCTTTTCTTCTCAGTAAGCTCAGACCCACAAAGGGTTTAACTTCCAGAGCTATTTGGAGTAGTTTGCAGGAAAATAAGTAAGAAAATAAGGGAAAAGGAGCATCTGGTTTGGGTTGAGAAGCAGCCACAGTGTCTGTGCCCCTTCTGCAAGAACACAGTGCCTGCATTTCATTTGTGAACAAGCTGCACTTGAGTAGCTACATCCCCTCGAGTAGACTCTGTTCAGATTAGAAAACTGTTGGGACCCCGCAGAGATGCACAGATTTGTGCAATGGCACAGACCTGCTGCTTTCCATGGAGGCTGGGCTGATGAGCTAGGCTTGCTCTTTCATTAGCTGGATGAGCTGAGAAATGCCTCCTCCTACAGGAACCCACTTCCATCACAGTTGTACACTGAGATGGCCAGAAATGCTGTTATGTTCTCTCTTTGCAGCCCTATTTCTAGATAGCTGAGGAAGTCCTGCTGCTATGTGCTGGCACCTGGCACCATTAGGACACAGTTTGTGGCATCAGCCAGTGCTTCCTCAGGAGAGTTAGATTGTCAGCCCAATCTACATCATCTGATTAAGTCTGATTTGACTAACAGCTTTTCCCATTAGACATCTGCAAGTTCTTACCTGATGCGTTACCATGAGTACAGCTGCTGAGATAATGAGCAGGACACCCAGCCCAAGGAGGACATACTGCAGGTAGTCCAGCAGCGATGGGATCAGCACCAGGTTGGTGTAAAACTGGTTTAGGACTGAGCCTTCAATGGAACCAACTCAAAAAAGCAAAGTTGTCAGTAGCATTTCCCTCCCACCCAGGGCTGAGACAGACCAGCTATGCAACTCCTTTCCCACCACAGATTAGGGAACTTATGCAAGATTCAGTTAGGTTAGAAGCTTTTAGTAAATAGTTAAGAGTCAGCTGGACATGCAGACAGCTGGAGACTGTGTTCCCTGGCCCACATGAGCACAAGGATGCTGGCAGCCCTGTTCTGGGCCCTATTTAACCCCACATCTAGGACAGAGCCAGAGGTTTACCAAGTATAGTGCAGGGTTTGTTCAGCTCAGAGGGATTAATGACATAGCCGAGTATTGCAAAGCCTTCTGTTGGTGTTTAATTAGTGTGGCAAGCTTAAAGCTTTATTCAAAGTGGAGTTTCCCCAGCCCTGGGCGATGGGGAAGCAGTTTCCCCCCCTCCCGCAGGAAAGGCTCTGCAGAATCAGGTCAAGGAAGGCAGCTCACCTCTGCAAACCACAGCAGCGGCAGGACCACTGGCTTAACCTTCCCTGTTTGACTAGGGGAAGGGAGGGAAAAAAATAAAAAATAAAAAAAATAAATACAAACTTAGATTTCTGTTTGATTTGATTTGTTTGACCAGGCCACAACCAGTGTCACAATTCTTCTAAAAGGACATCTCTGACAGAATCTAACAGACTCTAACAGACTGATAGTGGCCAGAAAACCAGTGCAAGGAGGTAGCAATTTCTGTTCCCTCAGAGAGCTGCTCCCCCCTTGAGGGACCAGGTCCCACTTGGACATTTCACGCAAGAGCAGAACTTATGCTTCCATTTGTGCTTAACTGCCTGACAGCAGCAGTGAGTGTCACCCCAAATCTGGGCGCCAGGTACAAGAACTCAGTGAACAGGGACACTAAACTTCATGCAGCTCCAAGATGTCTCAGACACCTGTGTGGTGCTACAGGGTGCTGCAGCCAAGTTCACAGCATCAGGGCTGTCTGCTGGTGCCTGCCCTGGAGCCATAGCAGCACTGCACGCTCCCACTCTTGTGGTTATTTAATATCTGGCACCACACAACTTTGTCACAGAGCCCTTCTGTTTGCTTTCACAGAGCTGAAAGTGTCTTTTTGGACACAGCCCTCAACTGTCAACCCTGTAGGCAGAGCGTTTTGCCTCTCCATGTTGGATGTAACACCTTCTGTGCAGGTGAACCACCCCTGTGCCTCCCCAGGAGGAGCAATCCCTTCATCAGCTGCCTGCTCAGGTGCAGAAAGGCTGCAGGAGCCGAGCACAGCATCGCAGCGTGTGGCTGCCTGTTTAGGATGGCACTTTGAGGTCACTGGAATAGCTGACATTTCACCACATGAGCCAGCTGGCTGCTGCACTGTGACAACTGTTAATGTTAAAGCTACTTCATCTCTGGGGAGAGTAAACCCCAGCGCCAGCAGCACTTTCTGCATGAGAAAGGGAGACAGCCATTTCCAAAAGGTGACTACTTACATTATACCAGGTACCTGCTTTATGTACAGATTCAGCTGGAGCTTGATAGAGCAATTCATGGGGATGCCTGTCATCTGCAAAGGAAGAGACCAACCAGTCCATGAGTACAGCCAACATTTGTTTGGAGAGCTTTGCAGAAGAGCAGCCCTTCATTTTCCATCATAGCTTCTCTGGGTGCCACCTTCCACAGCGATGGACTGGATCATCCAGACATGCACTGTGGTCACCACACACAATACCAGGAGCATGGCTGGGGTTTCCACCAAAGCACAGGCACCAGTCCCCAGGCTCTGGGGCTCACTGCTCATGGAGGGAAAGCACTGTCCCCATGGCAGTTTGCAGGCTGTCCCCTTCACTTGAATGCTCATCAGCCAGTGAGACTGTTGCAGACAGCAGCATTCAGAAGGGAGCACCTCCCTTGATGTGGTCTCAAGGCACAAAGACCTGAACAGACATGGCTGCTGCAGAAGAAGGCAACACACATTCAGCAGACAGACAGCAGGAACCAGGGAAGTGTTGTGTGACCAAACCTAGACACGTTCCAACTACAGCATATGCAGCCTGTAAGTGACTCCCTAGGCAGGGTGTTTTAATAGCAACTTCAGTGGTTTTGGAAGCCTGGTGAGCCTCTTCTGGTGTTCATCCTACCAGCAGCAGGATGGAAACACATCCGTGTGAAAGACTCATGCATGCAGCAAAGGACAAAACATTTCTCATAACTAGGAACCGACAGCCACTGTCCAGCAACACCTGAAGACCATGAAAACACCACACTCCAAAGCTGGTCTTGTTATCACCCATTAAGGCATTGGTTTCTCATGACACTGCAGTTATGCAACATATTTTTAAGGGCACAGAGTTTTTGTTGCATTGCCCCTGTTTGTACTCAGCAGACTGCAGCCAGATAAGAATATAGTTAATTGTACTGTTATCAGCAGATGTTTGATACTGTAATAAACTTAATTAGATTTCTGTAACTGTGATAAGAAAAGCAGAGAGAACCCAATGCCTAGATAAGAAGCATAGCTTACCTTACCCCCAAAGGGGGATTGGCTTCTTGCTTGAGGAAACACCACTGAACGTTTGGAAGATCTGACCACATGCAACACAGGCTGTGGGTGAAAGATCCTAAAGTCCCCTCCCTATCAGCAGTTGGGACAATGATGGCTTAGAACAACCCAACCCATTGGTATGGGAGCGGTGCCTTCACCCTTAGCTACAGATACGCACGAAGCGTAACGCTGCAACAGCCCAGTGCAGAAGCAGCCAGATAAGCAAGTTGAGAGAGTAGAAGAAGCCAGCTCAAATGGCAACAGTGTCAGACACAGCGTGGTCTTCAGACTTTGCTGGTCACGGCAGTACATGTTTGCAGATCTGGGGCGTAACTGGGCTGCCGCTAGATACACCTCCTGGTGTCATGGACCTGAGTCAGTGGAAAGAACTTCACTGTGCTTATCGAAACAATTATGCTTATAATTAGTTCTGCAATTCTCTAGAAGCTAGGCTAATTATTCAATTAGTTTATGGCTTTGACATTTTTATCTGCACGTGTCCTTGCCAGTCTTTGCACTATGGAACCTGCTCAGATCATTGCCACGAGAGCAGAGCAAGGCCACCACGCAACCGGTGGCAGCTCCCCACCTCAGCCCAAGCTGGATCCCTGAGGTGAAGCGAGACCCCTGCACTGGGTGAGGACCCCCCCAGGCTCACTCACCGGGTGCACGTCGAGAAAGAGCGCGTGCTGGTCCTCACTGGGGTGGAGGCCTTCAACGGCGTCGACCAGGGATGGGTCAGCATTGTAGAAGTGGGGATGGGAAAGGAACATCGGGGCATCTGGATGAGAACAAAGACACCTTAAGCTCATCCAAACCCATCTGAGACTTTTTGTTGAGGTTTTTAAGCCACTGCAGCACTTGTTCTGAACAGACTTTTATTCTTTTCTCTTCCCAACCAGAAAGTTCCTTCCCCTCCCTCCCTCCCTGTAGCTTATTCTACTGCTCTGGGAGGGTTAAGACCCAGCGTTTAAGCCACCCTCTCCCCTCATGCTCCAGGCAATGCCACGGTAACTCGTTGTACCCAGACATGGTTAGGACATCAAGTCTGAATTCTCTCCTGCGTAACCTACACTCAGTATCCAAAGTTAACATTTAATTTGGCAGTTACATTGTCTGCCTCTTCCTATCCTGGCTCCTCTGCCTGCTCTCTCCCCATGGGGACATAACATTCCCATCGTATCGTTGGGCATTCCCACAAACACCAGGCTGTCACGGGGCCATGGAACAAGGGGACTTCAGGCACAAGGATTTTCCCTCTTTC